TGTCCCACCCTTACTCCTTTACTCCCTACCCAATCCATCCAACCCCTTCCCCTTCACTGGGGTGCCATTATTTCAGCTCAACTCAACTCATACTCAGTTCTCAGGGTTGCCATTAGGCACAGTGATTTCACATCACTTGGGATGCCCATCTCCCACATCAGAGTGGCTGGGCTGAAGTCCTGACTGTGCCTCTGATTCTAGCTTCCTACTAATGCACACCCTGGGAGGTAGCACGCGATGGCTCTAGTTGTTGAGTCCTTGTCACTCAAAGGGGGACCCAGCTTGAGTTACGGGCTCCCAACTATAGCGTGTTTCAGCCAGGCTGTCTTGGGCTGTTGGAAAGTGAACCAGTGCGTGGAAGGTCTCTGTCTGTCTCTAGCGCCCTGCCTTTATGGTAAATAAAAATAAATCACAAAAACTGTTGTAAAAAGCAGATCTCATTCAAAAGGCCTTTCAGGGTACAAGGAGCTTATGTGATACAAAGACTCTGTCTCAAGACCTTTCAGTCAATCAAGTGAGGGAGATACACACGTAAAATAAGAAAAATCAGATAAAAATGGTCTACGTAAAGGAGTAGAGTTGGACCATTTAGTGAGGCTACGGAGCCAGAGCAGGGATGGGGGACGCCACCAGTGCTCATCTTTTCCAGGCTTCCAGGGGTCTAAAGCATCCTTGCCACCCTTGCCGCCAGTCAGTGTGTAAATACACATAGGCCCCCCAGAATCAGATGCGATGTTCCTGGTGCCGACAACTGGTAGCTGTATATTTTTATCCAAAAGATCAACGTTGTGATCAATGAGCTTTGGCTTTTGAGGCTGAGACTTCAGCCTTCACCAAGAGCTGTGTCCTTAGGCTAGTAGCTTCACCTCTTGTAGCCTCTGTTGTCTCCGAGTTAAAATGGGGACAGTGTGTCTGCCTTGGGGCTGGTAGGAGGACAGAATCAGGTCATGGCCACACATAGGATTCCTAGGATTGATATGCCCCACCCGTCCTCTGTCCTTCTCCAAACAGGATCAAGTGGAGATAATGTCCAAGAGCCACACACGTAGTTGTTGACATGCCACCCTTAATGGTGACCAGTTTCCAGTGGCAGTAGTTGGTCATCACGAACCAGGCACAAGATGGGTATTCAGGCTCCTTCCCTCTCCCCTAGGAAACATTTAGCTTCCAAAACCTATATTCAATCACTTTAAAACAATAACTTCTTGCAAAGCTAGAGAGAGTTGGTCTGATTTCTACAGAAATGAACACAATCTAACTAACTCCTAAAGACATTGCCACAGAACTGTCTGCTTACTACAGAGACTGGAAGCATATGTCCGTGAAACATGCTAGAAACAGCACTCACTAAATCCGAAGTCCTGCCTGACTTGCCACGTGCCCGTCTCCTGACCTGACCGTGCATCCATCTGCAGCTCCCCATCCTCCAGGAGCAAGGAGTGTCCAGTCCCTTCCTCCCACCTGTGCACGCTCCCAGGCTAGCCCAGCACCACCGGTCATGTCCTTCCCGGGATGCTGGCAGTGAGCAACACTTCTGTGCTGAGCGTGCTCTGTACAAAAGCAGCAACTGCACCTGTGCAGAACTCTGAGCCTGATGCAAACCCCAGTGCTGTGTAGCAATGACGAGCCAGAGGTGGAGTGGGCATAGCCATGCTCCCAACCTGATAAGGAGAACCCTGTTCAGCTCCCGTTCAAAAGCCAGTCGGCTGGACCCCTTCCCACAGTGCGTGTTTAAGCATAAGCCCCTCGTATACCGTGTCTGAGCTGCACCATGGCCGCCTGTCAATTTCCATTGCAAAAAAGTCCATGAACTTGGGGTTGGATCACCAATGTGGTTTGTCCTTCTCCCACCTTCTCCATCTCCTCTACCTCCTTTTCTCATTTCTCTGTTTCTCCCCTCTCCTTGCCCCCATTTCCCCTTCGAATGTTACAATGTTCGCCGTGTGAACCATCATCTAAGATACACATAGATCGCAGCACCCGGGAAGGAAGAACCTACTATTTCAGCTGCTTCGAAAGAGAACTCTCGGGGCTGAGCGTCTGCTCTGACCCTGAAACAAAACCCAATCTGTGCATCTGCACTGGTAAAACTGTGAAGCCACAAGTATGCTGGCTTAATTTTTAGAAAAAGAATCCATCAAACTAAATTATAGCCAGTCAGAAGTCTGATAAAACAAGCTTGGAGGTGATACTGACCCTGAGGCACGTTCAGTCGAAAGATTAGCATGTGTGTTTCCTAACTTGGGATAGCCCAGATCAAGGCGTCCTAGAGCTTGTTAGGAAAACCCATCTTGCTCTCTTCTACAACAGAAATTACAGCTATGGGCCAAGGAAAACAGATGCATGGCATGTACAGGCACTAGTCAGAGTCTTAAAAAATCTGCGCATTTAAAGCAATCCTGTTGTAAGCTTTTGTCCACCTGCAAGACCTGCAAGTATCGCCAGAGGTTCAGGATGATGGCTTTTGTGCACGGCCAACAGGGAGTTTGACATGATCAATCTGACACGCTGTCCCCAGGAGACGCGGGCTGCGGTGCTGCAGCGGAGGCCACACCTCCCTTGTAACTCTCTGGTTACTCGTGTGCTCTCGGAACACACCCTGCTGCGTGCATTCACAACAATAGCCCATGTGTGACCTTTGGAAAAGTCCTTGAAAACAGTGAAACCGGAGTCTTAGATGAAATCTGGAATCCATTCCAGTCTTACACAGGAAGAAAATTAGGCATAGAACAACAAAGCCCGTAGTTCAGAGCAACCTGGGGAGGCTCTGGCTGACATTAAAATCATGGAAGGGCTTTTGTTTTGTTTTTTGTTTTTTTTTTTTGTTTTGTTTTGTTTTTTTTTTTTTTTTAGTTCACTACTTTGTATTTCATAAAAGCTTTCATCCGAGCAGCCCAAGAACTGCTGGAAAATACCGTATGGTTACTAGATGGCAAGAACGGGTTTCTCCACGAATAAAGCAAGATGCTGAGTGATGTATTAAAATTCACTTAAGACTTCTCCAAGCTACTATTTAGATGCTGTTCTTCCAAGCCTAGGTGGCTAACACTACCATCTTTCCCTTTGGATTGATGTATTGGCAAAACCAGGATTGGGGTGGGGGCTCAGGACAGAGAGCAAAGCATACTCCCTAAGCTTCAAGTCCATGACCAAGTGCATTCGCCCAGACACCCAAGGCCTGGAAATATTTATTCACTTAGAACATGAATCAGGAAATTCAACATAACAAACATTTGTGGGGCGACGCTGTTTTCCTGAGTACAGACCAATTCCCTTTTGTTTCCAGCTGCCATTATCCACTACTACGAAGCCGCTGTAGCGTAGGATTGGTTTCACACACACGAATAATTGTAAATCTGTACTGCCTTTGGAAGCATTTTCCTTCTTTGCCAGCAAGAAGAGAGGGAGGACACTTGTGAGTCAAGAGGAGGCATGAAATCCAGTGAAAATCAACTGTCAGAGAAACATGGCTTGGAATCGCACCTTAGAATCCATCTGAAGTCTGTCTGGAAGGCCCCTCAGAGGGACACAGACCCTGAAGCCAATAAGAAGGTTCAGGAACAATCCAACTTGAGGGAAGCATCAGAGACCCAGGCCCACAGCATTTCTTCATTTACATGAAGAATTTAACTGTTTTTTTCTTAAATACATTCACAGTTCTTTTTTTTTTTTTTTAATTTTCCTTAAAAAAAAAAAAAAAAAAAAGAGGTAAATGGCATTGCTTTGGTCTCCAAAACAGATGCCAGTTTGAACTTTATTCTGCCAGCAAGTATTTGGTTTGGCTGTGCAGGGCTTGGGTTGAAAAAATATTTGCCGATTCCAAAAAGATTTAACGAGCTTTGCAGCAGATGCCGGTGCCATTTGGCACGTCACAGGGACTGTGGCCCAGCCGAGAGAACTCTCTCGACCACAGATTTTATTTGCCCAAGGTAGCCAACACTGAGAGCTCAGTTGACTCCTCAGGTCAAGAAGCTGCAGGCCAATGAGCAAAGTTTCCAAGAGAAAGTGAGCAACTCAGGCTCCAAAAAAATAAAAAAATAGCTTGCTGACATTGAAAAGGAAGTCACTGCGTCTGACTCCAGCCCCCGCACCAGGATGGATGGCTACATTTCAGAAGTGTCAATAGCATCACACAGGTCCTAAGGCTGCAGCTCAGACAAATCAACTTCTTTTCCTTCCTCATCCATGATCAGAAACTGTAAAGTTTGCTGCAGTGTGTTTTGCTGACGTCTGATACTTTACTAATTGTGGCATGAAAAGTTAACTACCTCGAGACATCATGACCTACTTCAAGGAACCTCGTCAGCTATAACCAGCAAGTGGACTTACACTGTAAGGACGGGCATGCACTACTTTTGTGCATATTCAGTAGCCTGTGTGAGTCCAAAGCTAGCACCGTGATTAGGAAGACCGGCCTGGTAGCACGGGACGGCTTGTTAAAGTCACCGAGGCTGTCACCTGGAACTGTACGTTGCAGTAAGAGCTACAAGGCAAAAGGCTCTCATCATCACAAACCAACACCGCATCGGACGACATCACCAAAAATGCAAAATACGTCCGTGACGGTGTGGACTTCAGAGTCACCTGCAGGCTTTCACGGCTGTGAGGTCAGGGTGAGTGGCATCGAAACTGGGACCCCTTGAAGAAAGGAGAGCTCTGAACTATTTTCGTTATTTCTCACGTTGGGCAAACACACACATCCTTGGCTGTCTCCCGTGCCAACTCCTACGCAGGTGTCTCGCAGAACTTCTAAACAGCCCTTTTGATGACACCATGTGCTGACCCAACGCTCAATACCTGACGATCCGACGCCAAGGGTCTGTGACAAACACCTGCAGGAAAGCCAGCCTCAGCCTCTGCACTGCTTTTCCACAGACAGGGCTGTTCACGACAGCAAAGATGGAGCCCCTTACCCGGCTGCGCTGCCCGGCCAGAGTCAGAGCACAGGTCAAAAGAGAAAGCCACAAAACAGCGGAAGGATGATGAAAGCTGTTACTCACCATTTTGGCTTCCGAGTGCATTGGCTGGACCTGGGGGGAAGCACAGGGCTCGCTCAGGTTGGGCCCTTGCATGCCCAGGATGCCGGAGTTCACTGACATCTGTCTCTCCATCTAAGAGAAAGGGGAGCAACAGCATCAGAAGTCTGAGAAAGGCAGTCCAGGTCCTGGGCAAAGCGGTGCTTCTCCTCCAAACGGATCATTCCGCATCTGTCTGAAGAAGTCGGGAGAAATCTGTGCTTTGGCGTAGGATGAGCAACAGCACCCACAGGCCTTGAACCCAAGCACATCAAAGACTCATCGAAAGCCAAGTCTTCTATAGAAGATCCCTCGTGCCAAAGGACCATGCGTGGTCATGGTAGGCCACTTCCCAAGGAAACGCCAGAATATCTTCTCTTTTGGGAATGCTCCAGTTACCAGGAGTCATGCTGAGGTTTAGCAAGGTAAGGGAAAAACGTATGCACAGGAAACTGCTGTATGGACAGGTACTATACCAAACGGTCATCTCAAGGTAGCTATGGCCATTTCTGCTTCCCACATTTTATGGGTAAGGGAGGAAAGCAGCTGAGAGCTCCCTGTCTCACATCTCTCACTGCTCCCACCTCGTCCCCCTGCTGACCTGCCGTCTTATCCACAAGTAACTCCTTCAAGCGCCTGAATTGAGCTCCAACATCTTGTCTACAGGGTCTTCCTATTAAGGAGGACACACAGGTTGAACACCCTTTGTCCAAAATACTTGGGAGCAGAAGTGTTTTGGATTTTGATTTTTTTCAGTCTTTGGAATACTCGCATATATCTTAGGGATGGTACCCAAGTCTGAACAGGAAACTCACTTATGTTTCATATGGACCTTACATACACAGTCTGAAGGAATTTCTTTAAAAGTCTTATTTTATATTTGCAGGGAAAAGTTACACAGGGAGACAGAGAAATCTTCCATTTGTCTGTTCATTCCCCAAATGGTCTCAAAGGCTGGGGCTGGCCCAGGCCAAAGCCAGGAGCCAGGAGCTTCAGCTGGGTCTCCCATGTGGGTGCAGGGGACCAAGGATGTGGGCCATCCTCCGCTGCCTTCCCAAGCACATTAGTATGGGACTGGATCAGAAGTGGAGCAGCTGTGACTCAAACTGGTGCTGATATGGGATGCCAGCATTGTAGGCAGCAGCTTAACCCACTATGCCACAATGTTGCCCACCCCCACCCCCCCCAGGAATTTTAAGCAGTAGTTTCAGTGGCCTGAGTTTTGACTGACCCATTACATAAAGTCAAGTGTAGAGCCTCCCACTTGTGGCATCAGCGTTGGTACCCACACAGTTTTAGAATTCAGATTTTCAGATTAGGGATGTTTAACTTGTACTGCAAAATTGCTAGTTTTGGTTCAGAAAGGATGTACCTCATTAATAATATTTTCCAGTTAGCAGAAATATAACACTTTTCATAGAATGAGTTAAAACAAGTAACCTTTAATACTAATAGCACAGAAAATAATTAGACATTCTTTAGAAGGGGAAAATGGATCCTTCATTGCAAGCGTGTTTTGTTGGCCAAGGGACAGACCTGAAAACAAGGGCTGGAAATGCTAGGGAGCCTGACTTCTGCTCAAGGCAGCCTAGTTCCTTATATCTAAATTACAGACTTCTTGGGCTGGCATCGTGGTGCAGCAGGTTAAGTCACCACATGATGTGGGCATCTCCTAGTACAGTGCTGGTTCGAGTCCCGGCTGCTCTGTTTCCAATCCAGCTCCCTGCTAATGCACCTGGGAAAGCAGCAGAAGATGCCATCCATGTGGGAGACCAGGATGGAGTTCTAGGTTCCCAGTTTTGGATCAGCCCAGCCCTGGCTGCTGCAGACATTTGGGGAGTGAATCAGATGAAAAATGTCTGTCTCTCTGTGTCTTTCAAACAAATGAAAATAAACCAATTTAATTAAAAAAAAAAAAAAAAAAAACCTTTCTGCCGGCACCGCAGCTCACTTGGCTAATCCTCCACCTGCAGCGCCGGCACCCCGGGTTCTAGTCCCTGTTGGGGTGCCGGATTCCGTCTTGGTTGCTCCTCTTCCAGTCCAGCTCTCTGCTGTGGCCCGGGAAGGCAGTGGAGGATGGCCCAAGTGCTTGGGGCCTGCACCCACATGGGAGACCAGGATAAGTACCTGGCTCCTGCCATTGGATCAGCGCAGTGCACCGGCCGCAGCGGCCATTTGGGGGGTGAACCAATGGAAAAAGGAAGACCTTTCTCTCTATCTCTCTGTCTCTCACTGTCTAACTCTGTCAAAATAAATAAATAAATAAATAAAATAAACCTTTTAAAAGTTTCTGGGCAGCCTAGGTACTCTAATTTTTAAAAATTCTTTAAAAATTATGGAAAATATTACATAAATGTTACCACTTCAATGATTTTTAAGTGCTATTGAGTACATGAAGTTCAGTGCCATTAAGTATACCCTGTGCTCTAATTGGTAAGTCATGAAGAATTCAAGAGTTTCATTGCTCTCAAAAAAAAATATATATAAATAAAGTATATTCCTTGTAACTCTCTTCCAGAGGATGGGTGATAGGGGAGTTGGAACAGAACTTGACCCCTTATTCCAATCAGTGACTCTCATGAGAGGAAGACCAAAGCCCAAACGAGCTTTTGCGTTCAGTGTTCCAAAGAGCAAGCCTTCAGAAGTACATGTGATGTTTCGAAGTTTTCTAAGCTGCTCAGCCTACCGAGAGGTCAGCGCAGCCTCCTGGGACTTCTGCAGTCAGCTCAGCAACACCTCCCACGTGCTGGAAAAGTTGTCGTCTGCGAGGATTCCTACCCTGTAGCTCTGCTTTTGTTCATTTTTAACAGATTTATTTACTTGAAAGAGAAAGAGATCGAGGAGGGGAGGGGAGGGGAAGGGAGGGGGATAAGAGGAGAGGGAAGGGGAGGGGAGAGGATGGGAGGGGAGGGGAGGGGAGGGGAGGGGAGGGGAGGGGAGGAGAGAGAGATCTTCCATTCACTGGTTCACTCCCCAATACCTGCAACAGCCAGGGCTGGGCCAGGCTGAAGCCAGGATCCAGGAATTCCACCTGGCTCTTTCAAGTATGAAGCAGGAACCCAAGCACTTGGGCCATTATTCATTGCCTTCCAGCCACTTTATTTGTAGGAAGTTGGACTGGAAGCAACTGGGACTAGACAGTCAGTCTAGTAAGGGATGTGGGTGACCCAAGCAGCAGCTTAACTCACTGCACCACAAGCGCCACTCCCAAATACTGGTTTTAAACAGATGGAATTCTCTTTGAGAACACTGACACGGAGGTTAAGATACTGCTTGGGAAGAATGCATCCTATAACAGAGGGCCTGGGTTTGAGTCCCAGCTCCGCTCCTAATTCCAGCTTCCTGCCAATGTGCACCCTGGGAGGCAGCAGGTGATGGCTCAAGTACTTGGTCCCTGCCACCCATGTGGGTGAGTGACGTGGATGCAGTTCCTGGCTCTTGGCTTTCACCAGGCGCAGCCCCAAGTATTGGGCATTTGGGGATTTAACCTCTGTTTCTCTCTCTCTCTCTCTCTCTCTCTGCCTTTCAAATAAATAAATTAGTACTTTTTTAAAAAAAAAATGCCTTGGCCATCTTAATGATTACTGATTTATAGAGTGCCAGCCAAAGCCTCATCAAACAACTACTTGCTGTTTTGCACTAACAAGGCTCTGTGTGCACAGTGGGCTCGACATTACCAAGAGGACTACAATTAAGAGGTAGAAGATGGGCGTGGTTTTAGGTATTCTGAGCAACACCAGCACTGAAGGGGAAACACACAGGCCAAGGATTTCTTCTTTTTCACATATTAGAAACAGGAGCTGCGCCGGCACCGTGGCTCAATAGGCTAATCCTCCACCTGCGGCCCCGGCACACTGGGTTCTAGTCCTGGTCGAGGCGCCGGATTCTGTCCCAGTTGCCCCTCTTCCAGGCCAGCTCTCTGCTGTGGCCCAGGAAAGCAGTGGAGGATGGCCCAAGTGCTTGGGCCAAGTGCTTGGGCCCTGCACCCGCATAGGAGACCAGGGGAAGCACCTGGCTCCTGGCTTCGGATCAGCCCGGTGCGCCGGCCACAGCGGCCATTGGAGGGTGAACCAACGGTAAAGGATAAAGGAAGACCTTTCTCTCTGTCTCTCTCTCTCTCTCTCTCTCACTGTCCACTCTGCCTGTCAAAAAAAAAAAAAGAAAAGAAAGAAAAGAAAAGAAAAGAAAGAAAGAAACAGGAGCTGGAATGTGTGCAGCTGATGGAGTTTTGTTTGGTTGGTTGGTTGGTTGGTTGGTGGGTTTTTTTTTTGACAGGCAGAGTGGACAGAGAGAGAGAGACAGAGAGAAAGGTCTTCCTTTTTGCCGTTGGTTCACCCTCCAATGGCTGCGTGGCTGGCGCGCTGCGGCCAGCGCACCACGCTGATCCGAAGCCAGGAGCCAGGTGCTTCTCCTGGTCTCCCATGGGGTGCAGGGCCCAAGCACTTGGGCCATCCTCCACTGCTTTCCTGGGCCACAGCAGAGAGCTGGCCTGGAAGAGGAGCAACCGGGACAGAATCCGGCGCCCCGGCCGGGACTAGAACCCGGTGTGCCGGCGCTGCTAGGCGGAGGATTAGCCTATTGAGCCGCGGCGCCGGCCGCTGATGGAGTTTTGTAATGATAAACGGGCGCTCCTGTTCCCAAATCGCTGAAGCACTTTCAAGACAACGTCACAACTCGCAGGCGGAACTCTTTGAAGGTAAGTTTCCTCCAGTTCTTACAGCGCCCACATCACACACAAGGTGCTAACAAACGCATGCGGGATGGATCATGTGGCCTGGCAGCATGCGTGGCCCGCCCCCTAAGGCTCTCCTAAAGACAGCCTCACCTTCTGTACCCAGAGAGTCCTGGTTTCCCAGAGTAGGAATCTGGGGCACAGGCTCGGGCATGCTTGCCATACCAGAGTTACAGCAGAGGAGTGAGTGACAGTGACATGATTACAAGAACAGAAAGGCCCAGGTCGATTTCTAGGACCTGGAAGGCTTCTGATTGCAGTAACATTAGTAATGCCCAAGACCAGGGCTTCTCAACCTCAGCACTATCGACATTTAGGGCCAAACAGATCCCTTGCTGTGGGGGCTGACCCGAGCACTGCAGGATGTCAAACAGCCCGCCAGAAGCCAGTCCACCTCTCACTCCTACCCCAGCTTTGACAATGAACCCTGTCCGCAGGTGTTGCTCAAATACACCTGACAGACAAAATCACCGCCGTTGAGACTCGCTGCTCTAGACTGACATCTATTGTCACGGCTTCTGTACGCATTCCTGACACTGATCTGGAGACTCCTGCGAGGGTGACATCCCTGTCTACAGTGGTTCTTGACCATGCACTTGAACCTACGCCTCTGTTCTGAAGCTTCAGCAGGAGGTCAAGTTTGTGCCGAGATGATGCAGTGGAAAGGCACCGGGTATCTTTCTCTGGGTCTTTTCAGCCCAAGTATCCCAACTCCATTCTTGGGAACAGCACTGAGCTTAGACAAACGGGAACAGAGGTCTCTGCAGTGCTGATTTTTGGAACAATGCTTAGAAGTTCTGAAAGGAAGCTAGTTTTGGACAAGAGGGACTTGGAGTCTGAATGCAAACCAGAGTAGTCAGGCTGAAGACAACCTGAGATATTGTATTGCTGGTGCTGTCTTCCCTTATCTAAAAGGAGTCTAGGGTGAGCACTGCCTGGGAAGCCAGTCAGCTCAATTTGTCTCGAGTTCAAGGTCACAAAAACTGTTTCTAACGTGGACCACTCAGTATGAAGAGTGGGCAGGTACATTTCTCTACACTGAGCCCACCAAGCCCCTTTCCCTGCCTACACTTAGACAATCAAGCCCACTGCTCAACCAGGGGCCATCTGAGCTCCTGCTCACGTGAGTCAACATGCGAGTGCATCTCTCGTGAGCTGCGGGACATGAGACAGCCCCCTTCCACGTCTCCCTGCTCACTTCTCAGCCGCTAGACGGGGCTACCAATGCGTCCTGCTTTCACTGCGAGAATGAAACAAAGTCATGTCGGCGACTTCTGAAGATGTCGACAACTTCTTAAAATGTGAAAACGCTCTGCAGGGCCTTGCTTACAAGGCTGTGCGAGGCTCCGATTCAGCTGTCAGGAGGCCTCTCTTGGTCTTCCAAGAAATCCTGTGGCCCTGGGAATAGCACAGGCACCAGCCATCTTCAACAAAGCACCATGAGAGGGAGGACAAGGAAGAGGCACAGGGAAGAGACCACGTGGCCGGAGAGCAAGGCTTCCTGCTTCTTGGTTGCTTCGTTGTGTTCAAAGGAAGGCAGTGAATGCAGTCAGTATGAGTGGAGACTGGGCATCCAGACTGCAAGGATTCAAATCCCGACTTCCCCACGCCCTAGCTCTGTAATCTTGCTTAAGTTATGCAGCCTCTCTGTGCCTCAGTTTCGTCATCTATAAAATGGGAACAATGCTTTCTCATGGACGTGCTGTGAGATTGAAAGTAGAAAAGGTACAAATTGTGTTGTGGCCAAGAAGTAGGGCTCTGGAGCCAAAACTCCCGGGTTCAGGACTCTGCAGCTGTGCCTTTCAGCCAAGCACGAAGCTTGCCTTAGGTTCTTCACTCCAAGAACAGGGGCAGCAATAGACTTACCCGTAGGAGGGTTTCAGGTATTGGGCTAAGTGCTTGATTTATGCTGCTAGCAGGATTCACAGAACATGATATGCTCGAATATATGGTGGCAGCTATTACACACGATCACTATCGTTCTATTAATTATGCCTCTGAGATGTGGTTTGAGCACTCACTGGCAATGTAAGGACACGGCACAGAACCCAAGCTGAGGAACTTGCAGTACAGTTGTCCCTTGGGACTTGTGGGGATTGGTTCCAGGAGGCCACTCAGATACCAAAAATCTATGGATGCTCAAGTCCCTTAGAGAAAATAGCAAAGTATTTGCACACGACCTACACAGTCCTCTCCTACACTTTAAATGATATCACGATCATTTTATACCAAATACGCATACATGTTATACAGGTAGTCGTTAATGCTGTTTCGTTTAGGAATAACGATCAAAACAGTCTATGTGCTCCGTACAGTTGCAATTTTTGAAAACATTTCAATTTGCAATTGGTTGAATAGCAGATACAGAGGATTGAGTAACACAGCAGAAAACACAGTCTCCCCCCGCAAATTCCGTTCCCTGGGTGGCGCAGCTCACGGGACACAACAGCAAGACGGGACTGTGCCTTCCAGCAGGGCACAGAAGGGCAGAAGCCAGCGAGCCGTCGCCTGGGGACAGCCAACAGGGCCCCCGGAGCAGACCGGCCCACGGCTCCACTCTCCACTCTCTGCAGTCAGCGTAGGTCTCGGTTTTTCCCGTCCTCTCTCTCGAGTGGCGAGCCTCAGCGCACGCAGGAAGAGGCAATGAGAAACATGAGTACTTACTGGCATTAAGACGGCAGAAGAGCCAGGCATCGTAGGGTTGGGCAGGGTCCCGGGCATGGAGGCGGGCATGGGCTGTCTCTGTCTGTTGTGGAGGTGTAGCAAAGAAGACAGAGAGCCTGGGACAGGCCTGGGAACAAAGCAAAACAAACACAGACGTTATCCCTGGTGACCTGAGCCCGTGTCGCCAGCCAGCACCCAGCCCCAGCGGGGACACCAGCATCATGTGTGCCGCACATCAGACCCACTGATGGGAGAGCCACGTAATTGAGGACATTAGGGAAATAATAACAAATAAAATACAAGCCTAGTTTCCTCTGCCGCTTCCTAGCTAATACATCAAATTCCACTTCACTTCCTGACCCCTGTTATCTACCTAACGTTCAGGAGAAACCGGCCAGTAAATCTCCGACTCCCCCACTTCCACAGAAAGGGACTTTGTGATGACGTCCTGGGCAGCCTGAGATCCGTGCACATTTGTTTAGTCCCCGCTCCACACTCTCCTGCGCCTCTGCCTGGAAGCCTGCCGTGCTTTGCTGTGGATTTACTGTGGATTTGCAGAGCAAGCTTCATTCATGAATTCCCAACAGAAATCCACGTGGGCGTCATCGTTCTCCATTGTGAATGAATAAAACCACAGAGCACAAAGCGAGGCAGCCAGGTCCCGGGTCACCGCAGCACTGCCGTGGGCCTTTCTCGGGGCAAGTCCAGAGCCTGACCCCTGTTCCCAAAGTCTGATTTCATAATGCCTCGAGGTGTTAGGCCATTGCACAGAGACCCTGAGCTGGAGCTGACCTGTAGCACTTGGGCAAGCTCGCCTCAGGGGAGGCCTCAGTGTTGGCTTCCATTTACAAAAAGCAAGAAAGAAATGTAAGGATCTCAAATTGATTTGCCGAGCCAAGGAATGTGCCGAGGGAAAACAGGAATTATTTGTGTTTATTAAAAATTGCAAACAAGTGACCTCCCTGGCTGAGTTCTCAGTCTCCTGATGCTCTCGCGCTCGGGGGAGCTGTGTAAAGGTCAACCCGTTAAATGAAAGACTTAACAACAAACAAAACAGAAACAAACAAACAGAAACCTCTCAGGATCTCCCAGTCAGCCCCATTAAATGATTTGACTCTGGATGTCACGAGAGAAGCTCACAGTTCCAGAATTAGCCCATTTGCTAAAGAAAAAGCGGAAAGAAGGCTTCTTCGTGCTAAGAGCCAGGCGGGGCTGTGATCCACGACACCAGGCGTCCGCCAACGCCCTCCCGCGCTGCACGCAGCAGCCTGCCCAGGGCCCCGCTGGAGAGGCAGCAAGGGCTGCTGCATTGGAGTCCGGTGGTCTCCCAGGGGACAGTCCTGGGGAGCTGGGGGAGGCAGAGGGGTAGGAAGACGACCAGCACGTTCTTCCGTCGCTGCTGTTAGGATTCCCATGAAGATGAACTTCCCCACTCTTTTTCCCGGGGAATGCATTTGGAACTTGAACTACCACTGTCACACTCACCGCAGGATTCGTCATAAATTAGCCCGGGTTTCTATGCTTAGGAGAGCGTAGGTACGAGACTATAAAGCCTTTCCACTGAGGTTCCCCAGAGTACCCCGTAGCACCCTGTCGTCTTAATAGGATGTGCATGAACTGGTACACAGATCCGTTAAAGCAAGTCCTTTATAACTGATGTGTTTTCTCACAAGCAAATGAAGGACTATGGGTATTTCTTGACGTGTGCCCTGGGAACCTTCAAAATATGGATTAAAAGCAAGGACCAGCAGAACCTGGGAAGGCCTGTTAGCCAACAGCTCCAAACTCTTACCATGATGGTGACTTCACCACGTCCCAACGCCTGTCTCAACCCCAGGCAGACCCCTCAAATCAGAGGGTAGGGAGTGTGGCTCAGTTGACACACTGTGTTCGCTTTAAATTCTCTAGTCTCCATGTTTAGTTTGGGAGCTTTATAGAAAAGAAAATAGTTGTATGTCAGTGCATACAAGGCTTGGTGGAAGTCAGTTCCGCAAAGCCCAACGTTGATGTGCTGAGCTCCCTAACTTACGGGGAAAGATTCAGGGAGCGCACAGGTATTGTCTGTGCATGCGGGCCCAGCTGCTCACCCTTCTCGCCTCCGTCTATGCGCTCATGCAGACAGATGTGATAGGCACACAGAGCACAGGCAGGGAGAAGCAGGGCCCGGCACAGCAAACGCAACTGAGCACGCTTCTTTTTTGTTATGTTATCTGACAGCTCAGAAATAACCTGGGTGATCACTTCCTATTGATGTGTTCTTGTTGTAAAGAAATCAATTAGACGACCTAATGACGATGCGAATGGAAATGTAAACGTAATTAAATGTAAAGCAAGTTTTTATCCTTCCCCCAGTGATGGAAACTCCCAGCTGCACAGAGGAGCTGAGGGAAGGGTATGGCTCATCTGTTTCAATGTCCTTGTTAGACTGGCTATCTCCACACCATGCGTAGGTCTACCCGACTTTAAAATACCAAGTATTTCCTCATGAATTGAGGGTACAGGGATCCCTCGGGATTGCAACACTAATTTCCTAATGATACTAATCAGACCAGTGAGAACTGGATACGTGCAGGGGAAAATGATTATTTGAGATCCTTGTATGTTTGGATTCTGAAGAATTCTGAGGTTATTGTTTTACAAATAGAGTCTAGAAATTATTCCTCCAAACCCTAGCTATCAAACTGGTAGAATTTGCTAGGCTTCTTGCTTGGGCTTGAAAGAAGGAAGGAGAGAAAGAGAGAGAGAGAGAGAGAGAGGAAAGAAGGGAGAGAGGGAAAGAGGGACGGGAAGGAACAGTGAGCAAGCCAGAACTAGGCTCTGTACCTAATCATCAGTAGGCATGGACAGGAGTAGCCGGTGCAGTGTTCTCTGCAGCTAGACCCAAGAACCAACCACTTATCCAGAATACGCCTACCGCTGAACTAAGAGGATTACAACAACCGCACGAATTGTCTAATTCCTTTGCGTATATAAAATGAGAATTGAAATAATAACTATTATTTACTACATTATTCTTGTACCAAATTCATTATTTTGCACTTACACAATGCTCCAATTATTTCAAAGAATTTTCATACTTTTTTGAAATAGTGCAATATGGTAGGCCGGTCATCTTATTCCGATGTTACTCAGGTGTGAATGAATCCAGAAACATTTAAATTTGTCCATGGCCACACAGGTCACGGAGGGCAACAGGGCTTGTGCTCAGCTGGGGAGCTCCGGCTTCCTCCGTCACACCTGGACGGCCCCCACGACTAATTATTGACTTTTTATGCTGAAATAAATTCACGGTCCATTTCCTTTGATATTCACACTGCTCCCTGGTTTCACGAAGTAGTAAAATTCTGTAATATTGCTAACATGAGAAATCACTCATCCATGTGAAATCATGATTCTCCCTTAAAAAAAATTTCCCAAGCAGCACATCAGTGAGACCCTGAAAATAGGACGGCACATGGCAGTCAAGTTGTGCAAACAAAGCCCCACCAGCCCTCCCAGTGCAGGCTTGCTGCCCTGAGCTCGCAACTGCACACGTGAGCAGGCGGGGGCTCCTCTTTAATACCCAGATGCCTCTGGGTAAAGTATTTCTACTAAAAACTACTGAGGCATGAAACAAGGTACGATGTGTGAGCGCATGTTGAATTGTTCAATTACCAAACGCAGGCCTGCAGCATAAAAAAATCTCCCAACCTGACAGATTATTCCTCTTTGTACACTTGTACAAACACACTGCTTACAGCCGAAATCTCTGTAAGCTTTTCTTTCAATTAAAATGTCAAGGATGACAGGCTGTGTGTTCGCTGTCCTGAATGGAGCGATAGGTAGCCTAGCAAGCAATTTCATGCCCTGGCCCAGCCCACCCCCTCAAGGATGTTTTCCAGTCCCGGGGTGTCTGTACAGCCGGTACTGTCTGCCTGTCTTCCTTGCCCCTGGGAACACCTGGCTGTCTTCAAGGAGCTCCGGGCCAGTGCGTTGGCTCGGAGGGCTGGAGAGGGCCTCTCTGCAGACTCCTCTCCTTTCCCAGGTCTTCCAAGGAGCCCTGGACTCTCCGATTCTCTGTGAAACTGTCGGGACAGACAGCGAGACCAGGAACGTGGAGAAGCAAAGGGAAGAGGGCGAACACTGCGCCACTGAATGCGGAGTGCAAACGTGGGAAAGCACGGAGTGGATAAGGAACAGCAACGGAAGGACGGGGTGGAGGGAAGACAGCATTTAAATCAAAAAGCTTAGAGCAAGAACACAGCGGGCAGGGAACAGGGCTCCAGGTGCCACTGCTGTGAGGGGCCTTCAGAAACTCGCAGAGAAGTAGAATGAAAAGTATGGATTTATGTTGGTGTAAAAGAAGTTTTTCTATGATACATAGAAAATGCATACTATGAAAAAGGTTATATATAGATTTAAAAATGTTTACAACAAAATAAACTCACATGAAAATAGTTTTTAAAATTGTGTTTATTTGAAAGGAAGAGACAAAAAGATTCTTCTATCCTCTGGTTCACTCCCTGACCGCCCTCAATAGCTGGCACTGGGCCAGGTTGAATCCAAGAATCGGGAACCTAAATCAGGTCCCCCACGAGAGTGGCAGGAACCCAAGTACTTGAGCCATCACCTGCTGTCTGCCGGGGTGCACATGAGCAGGAAGCTGGAATTGGGAGCAGAGCCAGGGCTCCACCCAGGCACTCTGAGATGGGATTTGGGAGTCCCAAGCAGCACCTTAACTACTGCACCAAACTCCCCGCCCTAAACTCGCACTTCCAATTCCACTTTGCTCAGAAGAGAATTCCTGGCTCGGAGGAAGAGACAAATCCGACTGAAGCTCTAACGTTCGGATCCCAGCCTCTGACACAGCCACTGGACCTTCCTACTCTAGCTGGGTTTCAAGTTCCACCGTGACAATGGCAACCACAGTGTCTAACCCAGCATCTGACCCACAGGACTTGTCTACACTGAACCAAGTTGAGCCCATCTAGCATTCAATTCTTAATACCAAAACATAGCTGAAAGACAACTGAGCCCCACATACAGGGTGCTCCTAAAAAGTAAGAGAGGTCGAGGAAAAAGGACTTTGCCTCCCACGGGCTCACACTTGCTTCTCACTTAACTGGAACATAATTTTGCGCGCACACA